CAACCCGATAAATTGATGTGCTAACTAACCATGCTTCAAGAGAAGCAGTTGATTGTCAGTTCATTGACAGGATCAAACACGTAAATCAGAATATGATAGACCCTTTATAGATCAAATAGCTTATTGACTGGAGCATCCATTTGTCCCAGAACGAAATTTCATGGTTTTTTAGCTTTTTGGATACCTTTTAGTTTAGATAATTTGCTTCATGTCATTTTTAATTGATTTATCCAGAACAGAACCAGAATGTTTTGCTTGCTTTTTGTAAGTTTCAACAGCCATACTTATAGTTACTGTTTTCAGTTTGTGGATTGATCAGTAATGCCAGTCTTCTTATCAGCATTTGTAAATCTGATGAAGGCCAGCAGCTAGTTATGAAAACATCACAACATACTGGCTTACCAACAATACACATTCTCCGAAACAGATGGAATGTTATAAGAGATAAGATTACTGGTTTGTCTTTATATCGTTCTGAATAAGTTTGGAAATTTTACCGCTTTACTGAGAAAAGTATGTTGGATAGGTGTGATTAATGTGAACAAAATGTCTAATATTGCAGATAAAGTCTCCAAAAATCAGATTTTTCTTATTCCTACGCTTACCGTATACAACAATGTTATTCTGGATATTCTACCTCGGTTAAACATCTCACCCAATACAACCGTATTATTCGACGATGTGTACGGTTTGTACTTGAGCTGATGTTTTTATTTACTTCGAAACTGTTATGCGCTCATTGCAGGGAATATGGAAAGCGTGCGAGAAGAATTTGACAGGCTACCCGTCTCCACGAAATTTGTACAAATCGCACGTGATCCTAATAAGCGACACGAACAAATTAAAAATGTTGCCTATTCCGGACGCGCCATTATTGTCGCTGAAACAACTCTGGTGGAGACGCTTGTAAAAGAAGTATGACCTTTGCCGTTTATTTAATTGCAATTTTAGTAATGGGCTTCCCCAGACTTTTTTGGCTGACACCTGAGCTAGCTTGCGCTTTTTTGATTTTCATTGTTTCAATCGTTTAGTGAAATGAATGTTGAGAGTCGATTAAAGGCATATTCTTTCCTAGATTTCGGAGTTTTTTCAAAATATAAAACCTGCAAGCTATCCAAGAACTTGAAGCAATAAGGAAATTACTTTTTCAATCGGGATTTTGCTATTTTAAAAGTTCTATAAGTATTTTCAGTTAAGTCAAACTGTCAAGGAATCTCCGAACCTGATTGTGTTCACAAAGGTGAGTTATCCATGCAGTACTTTCTGAAAGATCTATACTTATTGCTTTTTATGTAACCCTTATATAACTGCAACCGCGCTTGCGTGTAAGTACCAAATTGAAAATTCTGAATTCGAGAGAGAAAAAAGGAAAGAAAGATGGAGAAAAAAGGCAGAGAGAAACTTACAACTAGGGCTTGAACGCGAAAACAAACGCTCAAATGCATTTCTCTTAGCAAAATAGTTTTCGCAGCGTATGAA